CTCCCCCTGCTTACCTTTAAATTAAAAAAAACCAAACAAACCAAAACAAACAAAAAAAGGAAAACAAGAAAGAAAAAACACATTTCTGTGCTGTGCAAAAGACATTTTGTACAATTCAAACAGAACAAACTCCATGCACATGAACGGGGTGACAGAGCACCCCGAGCCAGGACCCGGCTGCTCGGCCCCACCTGGCAAAATCCCAACAAAAACAGGGCCGGAAATAATACTGATGCGCAAAGTCCCCTTTAATAGGCGGGCAGGGAGGATTGTCGCTGAGCCCAGCCAGGCACATGCAGGAGGAGCTTCCAAGCACTGCAGCTGGGGTCTTGCTGATGCCCTACAGTGATGACAGACAGAGAAGGGGTCGCAGGCAACAAAGCCGCGCTGGCCGCCTGGGAGCCGCGGGCTGCTAAGAGGACACAGTCACTGCGGTCAGGGCTCCGTTCCGGGTGTAGTAGAACTTGCTGAATGCCTCTTCAAGTAAACAGGTAAGTCTGCTCTGGTCAGCCTGGGGGGAACAAGCTGCAGTGAGGGGCAAGCCCAGTCTGTATTTCTCCTCCCTCCTCAGCTAGAAAAGGAGTGATCTAGCCTAAACCATTTCAGTTTGAGAAAAGAATGCAGACCTGTACCCCCACCTGAGCCCCAGGCCTGCTTACCTCACTGATGAATCCAAGCTGGACCAGTTCAGCTGCCAGCTCCTGGATGTTGTCATCTGCAACACAGGGACAGGTCTAAGTCCCAGGTCTGAGCACACCACTGCCCTCAGTGCACCAGAGCATGGGAGGAAAGGTACTTACTGGGCTGCAGGTCACAGCTCAAATGTCGATTCAACTTGTCTTCCAGTTTCAGCAGCAGTGTTAACTGCAAGGTAGATAAGTTCTCATGAGGGACTGCACGGTGGCCACAGCCAGCCAGGAGCATCCCCAGAAATCCCCATCAGGAGAGGAGCCCCTCTCCTCCAGAGCCCCACAGGAGTCTAACAGAACCACCACATCCAGTTCCATTCCCAACCACAGCCAGCAGCACCCTCCTGCCGAGGAGGCCTCAATCTGGGGGTGGGCTGAAAACATTTGCTACAGAATCACCTCAACTGGAAAAGCCCTTGAAGCTCATGGAGTCCAACCATGAACCCAACACTGACAAGTCCCCAACTAACCCATGTCCCTCAGCACTATATCTACACGACTCTTCAATCCCTCCAGGGATGGGGACTCCACCACTGCCCTGGGCAACCCCTTCCAATGCCTCAGAACCCTTTCAGCAAAGAAATTCTTCCTCACATCCCATCTCAACTGCCCTGGACACAACTTCAGCCCATTTCTCTTGTCCTGTCCCTTGGTCCTTGGTTGGACAGACTCTCCCCACCCTTCTCCAAAGGACTTGGACAGAGCCAGAAGGTCTCCCCTCAGCCTCTCTTTCTCCAGGAGCCAGGTCAGCCACAGGCACAGTCTGGATCTGGCTCTGGGCCCCAGAGGTTGCAGCTGTGGCAGCAGAGGGTGACACCAGGCACCAGCAGCACATCAGCACGCTGGAGCCACGTGCTCTGCACAGCCGCCCTGGTACACTCCCACACAGCAGGCTCAGCCAGAAGCTGGGAACGTACATGGTGCTTCACTCCCTCCTCTACAGACTCAATGTTGCACTGCATCAGCACCACCTGCAACAGAAGCAGAGACATCCCGTGAGTCCCTGCTCCCCAGACAGCTGGGGAGGAACGGAGCTCCCGGCTCTCACCTTGCGAGTCTCCACCTCAGCAGGCTCTGGAGTCGGGGTTTTCACTGATGGTGGAGCAATGGGAGATTTCACCACGACCTGCTGGGGCTGCTGGGGTCGCGGCATCCCAAAAGCTGTGAGCGGGTAGATACCATTCCTGCAAGGGAGGAGCAGGGTCTCAGGTTATGCCCTTCTGAAATTTTTCCAGTCTCACACACAGTTAAAGTTGCCCTTTTAAAAAAAACCCCCAAACCCCTCTTACCTTACATCCTCCAGGAACTTGTCCAGCTCCAATGCTGGAGATTGTGAGAAGCTGGGGGGGACGGGGGGGAGAGGGAAAGGAAGAAAAGAAAAAAAGTACTGAGGTGAGAAGTCATCTAACAGAACAATGCACTCAAGTCTCTTCAGATGCCATTTAAAATCCCTGTGTCCTGGCTGTGTGCAGGATGAGTATGGACAGAGGCACCCAAGGCAAGACAGACTCCAACCTTCCTGGACATGAGGCAACTTTCACAGGAGCTAAGGACAAGGCAACACTTAATTATGGCAGAACAGGTATCACTTCCCTGTAGAGTTGTCCAACGCAAACAATCATTTGGAAGCTAGCCCAGTAGCACCATGTTCCTAGCAAGGTTTTTTGAAGGACATCTGTTACACCAGACCCATGAAGCCTGTGTCCCATCTCCAGAAGGGCAAGGGCACTCAGCAGTGCAGAGGCAAGAACCTCAGCAGCAGCTGATGGCACAGGATGACCAACCAACACCAGATCACTCCAGAAACTAGAAACTACACCTCAGGATTTAATGCCCTGCCCAAATACTTCTCACAGGAGTTCAGTAACTTTTCTTCTCTCTGTACTTTCTTTCCCAGATTGCTCATTCCACTGGATGGCTTCTTAATGTAGAGTCTCAGAGAAAGTCTTCCTTTTCCAACATCTCTGAGGTACTACAATACCAAAAAGCAAGTCCCAAGCTGGCATATGCCAGTTAGCCAATTCTCTGCAGACTGAAGTGAGGTATGTGTAAAGAACCTCTCTTGCACAGCTTTGGCTATTCACTCTTTATCCTCTATTTTGAACTTTTAATTAACAAAAAACATTCCAAAGGGAATTCAGTACTATTAATTAGTGCTATGAAGATCAGAATGCCAGTTTTTAGAAAGGTCTGTAAGGCTCAGAGAGCTTCTCAAATGAACAGTGATTTTTTTTTTTTTTTTTCCTTGTGATGTTGATTACTTTTGTTCAGTAGCTTGAGCATCCCAGAATGCTGGGCTACCCTGGAAGCATTCCAGGGCCCTGGGCCCCGACCCAGGGCCTTTTCTGGAAATACAGTATCCACATCTTACAGTCCTTTCAGCTAACTCCTCAACTAGCTGAGCTTCAGTATCCAAAATTTAACATCACTTTTGGGCACTCTACTTGCTCCACACACACTACGGTCACTCACTTAGGAGTCACCTCTCTAGTTTGAGTGGCAGCTGCCCAGAACAGCCCTTCCCCTGGCACCTTGTCGAATGAGCTGCACCATTAAGAAAACAGCGAGGAACCATTTGTCCAACATGTTGGGCTCCACTTGACAAGCCCGTGACTGGTCCCAGTCACTTGCCCAAACCGTTCAGCCAGGTTGTGCTAAGGATTGTTACAACTATGGTGTGTTTATTTCCCACCTCCCTGTCTGGGGAACAAGTCACATCTCAGCTGTATGGAATCCGTTCACAGAACATGGGTGCAAGGTCTTCTTCAAGGAGTTACCTCCACAGCATTTTTGGTGCCCTGGAGGAGAGCGAATGCTCCTTCACCAACAGCTCCATCAGCTCCTTTTTGTTTCCCAGTTAGTGGTGAAATACTCACACTAACTTGAAGGGAAGAGTCCCAGGCAGATCCCTCAGTGCTCACCCCAGTGCCCTGGCCCCTGTTCCACACATGCCTGAGCAGCCCCCTCCAAGCCAACCACAGGGTACTCACATCATCTTGACTCCTTCCCTGTCCACATGATTAATCTCTGCCAACACCGCACTCATGTCAAGGTTTTTGGTCATTTCTTCTAAAGCATTCTCAGGAATCATATCTATTTAAAAAAAAAAAAAAAAGTTAGACCTGAACAACTGTAATTTCTTTCCAACCTAAGAAAAGCAGTAAGAAACCCAGAGGCTGTTCAACTGCCATGCCAGTCAGCGCAGGCAGGGCACCGTACTCCTCCAGCTCTGCTTCACAAGGCCCTGGCCCCTGCCTGTTAAGAGCAGCAGGAACATCTTTTCCAGGATGCCAGCCGGGCTGACAATAGTGAAGCTTTGCAGAACGTGAGGTGCAGCACCTGGGGACTCCATACTCACGCTGATGTCCAACGATACAGTGAGCAGCCAGCAGCTTCAGTGATGGCACCTCAAACAATGCCTGATGAAAAAGGAGCTCCCGAGCAGTGGGACGCTTGCCAGGGTCCTGTTCTAAACACTTCTGAATGAACTCCTGAAAGAGAAACGTTGCATGAGACCACGTGCAGCGCCAGCATGTCTGCAGGGGTGCGGATCTGTCCTCACTCACCCTCTGCAGGGGGTCCTCCAGCAGCTGGATGGCACTGTTAATGGCCTCCTGGGGCACGTAAGATGACTCTCCATTACCCTGTATTTCCAGCACCGCCATCTGCAAACACAGAGCAGCGCATCAGGCTTCACTGAGAATTACTGACTGCATCGAACAGAGCTCAAGACCACCACTGCTAAGCACGAGATCACAGCAGCCAAGTTGTTTGGTGCTATTTAAGGCCACGGTTTGCAGAGGCAGAGAGAGAACAGCTGCCTCATTGCTATAGCTTGTTTCTAGCACCCTAACAGATTGCCAGGGAGACCTGAAAGCTACACCAGCATCACCCTAGACAGTAAGTATTCTCCATTTTGAATCTCATGATCCACTGGCCTGTATTTCTCCCTGATAATTACTATCCTCTAATGAAGCAGTAACTGGATCACTGCCAGAATCTGACAGTGTCCCTCCTGGCTGTATGAATAGCTCTGTATTACAGGCAGAAAACCGAGGACACTGTGCCATCCAGAACTGGCTCCAGCCAACACATACACAAATTCCCAGCTAGGAAAGGCTGGCAAAAGATCCCAGACAACGTCTTCAGATTCAACTCAAGTTTTGATCCCTAGAAGTTGTGTGCTTCCACAGTTCTCTTTCTCCTCCACTTACAGGATGTACAGCATAGGCTCAGAATTCTTTGTGTTGGCTCTTTCTGACAATTCTTTCCAGAAAATACTCTGACAACTCCCAGTTCCTAGACTTGGGCCTACTGATTGCAAGGACAGAGGAACCACTAAGCTGCTAAGATCAGGTATGTCAGACTTGCACCTGACTGCAACCAGGCAGGGACAGGCTGTCCCAGAAAGGTTACAGACTACATCTGTCCTCTCCTCCAGATACCACAGGAAGGACAGGTACTCCCCAGAAGGGGAGCTTTGTTCTCCATGTGCATTAAGAAGAGTTTGCAGCAGTGACTGTTCCCACCAGCCAGTGGGTCAGACTTCAGAACTGGCCAAGACCTGCAGAGTAATGAATTACACATCAGGAATTTCAGAAAGAACTACACTTCTGAGCTAGTTACTTCTGAGTAAAGCATTAGTGGCAGCCTTGATAGAGAACCCTCCCAGGCAAAGTGCATTTGGCTCAGAGAACCACCCGTAACCACAGCATCTCCACAGAGCCATCTCCTTCCCTCAAATTCATTCTCTCTGTCCCATAGCCAAAGCGTTCCACACTCACCTCCAGTGCACACATCCCAAAGGAGTAAATGTCCACAGCAGTGGTGACGTTGGCAACTTCTGTAACACAGAAATAACACTCTGATGAGTCCATCCCTGCATTCAGCAACACCAGCAGGACCACCTCTGTGCCACGCTATAACTCTGCAGCCTCTCTCCCTCCTCTGCTATCAAAATACAGAGGAGTTGGAGCACTTAAGTAGGTAAATAACTCAAAACTGTTAACGTGACACCTGTCACGAGCCTGCAGCTGAAAACAAGATGCAGAACAGCTCGGAAGCATTAGCAAGGCGAACAAAACCCAGGCCTGCAGCTGCAGCCACACTGTACCTCCATATTCCGGGGCAAAGAAGTGCAGGTTCTTCTGCTCCTCACGACAGGTCTTCACGTGGTTGTTAATCGTGTCCGGTGCCACTAGAAGAAAATAACAAGTGCTTAGGACACAGGAAATAATAGTCCATCCCTGAACAAGATCCCAGGGAACACATGCAGCCTCAGGGCTCTCTGGTGCCCAAAGGGGCAGCACAATGGAGTTAAGTTGGTCCATCATCACTCCCTCATCTCAGGGATATATTTCTCTATTGTTTCCTTGGCTGCAGATCGACTAAGGCAGCTTAGCATTATGCTCCAAGAGCAAACCTGGAGACCACAGTTTCTGGTGAATGGGAAGACAAGCTGGGAAGGACTCCCCATTCAAGCCCAGGTCCTGAAAGCACCTAACTTAAATCACCTACAGCATTTGTCACAAGCAACTCGACTACACCAGAAGCCCTAGGAACAGCCAGAGATGCCAAGATCACCGCAATTAGTCACCACCTCAGGGGGTCTAGGAGAGGGATAGACCTACAAGGAAACCCTTCCACTATTAGCAGGGCACTGGTGCCAGAGTGCCTCAAGATGAAAGTCAAGTAAAGCTGCTGAATGAGGAGAGAGGAGCACCCTGACAGCAGCCAGCACCTCCACAGCACCAACCACCAACCACTCAGAGCTGCAGGGAGGGAATAACTCCAGCCACAAGAACAAGCAGCAGAACACAGGTATGGATCCCCCATAACAGATAGGCCTTTGGGACAGCCACCTCTGAAGAGATTGCAAACAGCTCTCTAAAACTAAGCAGCTGGTTCCATCAGGGAGAAACACTGAGGCAGGCAGGGAGCCACCATCCCATCTGAAGCTCTGCTTCCACCCTTGAACATACCCAGTCTCAGGCCCCTCTCCCACTTTGTCAACCTCCTGGACAACCTCCTGTACTGCTGCATCGTGGACTTAGATGGGACATGCCAAACCATTTGTATTTTTCCAAGTGTTCCTGGATTAGGGCAGGACACACCAAAGAGGATTCCCAGTTGAATGAGACTGAACTAGTTCCCAGCCTCAGAAAAAAAGATGTTTTTTGGCTCTTGTCAGACAAGAAGGATCTTCCTTCACAGCTCAGCCTTGCTGTGTGGCACATATCAAACCAAACCCTTCTTGTTCAAGCACTGTAAACAGCATTTGCTCTAATGACCAGCATCCACTTTCCCAACCAACCGTTCATGAGTAGTTTGCTGCTTTTTGTTCTCCTGCTAGCTCTTCCCTTGGGAGTCCAGTAAGATTACTTCATTCCTAGTGCTTACCCATTTCCAGACACCACCAGGTCCTCCCAACTTCACAGCATGAGGCAAAGTAAGCTAAATTCTTTCTCTTCCTCTTAAGACCCTCTCTGGGTTTTCCCAGTGACACTGACTCCTTTAGATGAGCTCCAACCAGGGCCATGCACAATCACACCAATCCTCTCTACTGGGGACTCTGCCCCAATGGATCTAAACATTGCACACGAGGAAAGTGGGTCAAGTTCCTCCCTTGAGCAGCTAGCTAGGAGACACCAGATCCTCCTCAGTTCCCAGATGATGAACTCTATGGACTTTTGTGCAGCTTTGCATTTTGCACTCTCGAGTGAGTTAAAACTGGAATGTGTCCAGTCTTCTAATGTCTTTCCCGTGCTCCTGGAGGATATCCTGACCTACCTCAACATCACACACTCCCCACGTTTTTATTAACAGCCGCAGCATTAACGAGATCAGTGCCTGAGGGACTCCAAACCCCTCCAGTGGGCAGCCCCTTTTAGCTACTACCCCTTCACTGCGCCTTCAGCCAGTGCCCGACTGCACAGACAGGGCAAATCACCCCAGGTTTGTCCAGCACAACAGGTTCTCGTATCTGGCCTTCTAGAGGTTCCCAGACATCCACAGAGGAGAATTTCTGTTCATTTTCCCCGCTGCGTCTGTCTGGTCTACAGGTGGCTGCTAAGAGAGGAGGGGCTACGTCAGGTCCTCTCCACTTCTCCAGCAGCTGGATTTCCTCATCATTACTGCTCTTTCCAGTTTCCTTTCTGGAAATCAAGATGAGGTTTAACAGCACAGGCCCCTCCTCCCTCTAAGTAATTTATTCTTTTCTACTCAAAAGAACAATTCACCACTGTAAAAACAAACAGTTTAATACTGTCAAATGAGGTTTTGCCTTCTTTAAAAAAAACCCAACACCAAAACCAAACCAAATGACATACCACACACACCACCACTCACGACTTTCGGAACTTCGGCTGGAGACTTGCAGGAACTAAAAATAATTTCTCCTAAATGTATAGTGTATGACTGGTGGGCAGTCTACTCCCAGATAAGGGGTGGCGATAAGGACAGCTACAGCCCTAGGAAGGACCTGAGGCTGATCACATCCAGAAGTGCAGTATTGCTGCAGATGCACAGTCGCCTGAACACTGTGAAGCTTTTGATCAAGAACAGATTTTTCCTCAGAGCAACCAATACCGTTAAGATTCTGGCATTCCCCCGAGGCCTAGGCTGTAATGCAACCACAGGATCTCACTGATCCCAAACGTGTTTGTTCCCTGTCTACAAGAATTATTACTTTATCCCAATTTTTACGGAACAGAGTGTTTAAGACTTCAGAAACCCTTCTTCTCTGAAGTCTGTTTTTTACTTTTTTAATGGAATGCTGGATGTCTTTGTGCAGCATGCAGTGTACATGAACTATCAAAAGGTGTTTTTGTGAACACTGCTAACCATCTATTGCATGCATGACAGCCTCTAACTACCAGGAACTAACCAGGCAATCTGGGGATATAAAATAAGACTTATTAAAAGTAAACAGGAACCCAACACCCATCTTCACCTACACAGTTCTGTACAGTCAAAGGTCTGGCACCCACCACCAAGATCCCGCGCATGACTGAGCCGCTGCCAGGGCCTCGCCGCTGTCCGGCCAGGGCCTCACCCCTGGAGAAGGGCAGAGGCATCGAGGTCTGTCTGGAGAGAGAGGCACTGCATCAGCAGCGACAGCCTTGCAGAAATTCAGCACGTGCCATCGAGCCTTGGACCAATGTCCTCATGCAAGAACTCTGGCACGGTACTACCCAAGACAACACTGTGGTGCCAAATGTGGAGCAGAATCAGCCAAGCATAAAGTCATCTCCCAAATTATGGTCTGATAAGCTTCATTTTCCAATGTGTCTTTAAATACTGTTACTACCAGGTGTTGGACAGCAAGGGCCAGTTCACTGTCCAGCCACTCTGTCCTTTGCTGCTGGGCCCTGTTTAAGAACAGCAAAAGGCAGAAATCCATCACAAAAAGGCGTTACCGACAGAATCCTTCGCCAGTGATGTAACATGGGCACTGCCATACCAGAAAGGCAAGTACAGTGGAATCCTAGCCCAACCTCTATCTATAACAGTTGTCTACACCTCATTAAGGACTTGATAATAAGCTTCTCTGTGTCCAGGTCCTATGGATGTTCTACAGTAGCACCAGCATTTCTGGAGAGAGCTGGGCTTGCACTCTGTGTGGGAACGTCCAACTCAGGCAGTTTTGAATCTGCTGTTGTAGGTCATCCAGGGACCTGCCTCCTCCAATATTCTGGTTCTTGTGCCTCCAGACTTGGAGAGTCCTCCTGGAACTCCTCAATGTGTTGTTCTATCACTGTTGCAGAGACTGGCTCTGCAGCTGGGTTTGATTAGCCACGTTTAGCTAAGCCTTTTTTCTGTTCTAGCTTTTGTATCATGGCTCACGTGCAACTCGGCTGGAAGTCCTGTGTATAACCTTGCTCTGTTATTGCAAAGCTGAAGCAATGTAAAAATAGAGCCATGGTGCAGGACTATCAGATTCTTCACTGTATAACTCAGAGCTCAGCAGAGGTGGCCTTGCCAGACACACCATCTGTTCCATTCAGCACTGTGACAGCAACAACCCACCACTGAAGTCACCTCTGAAAAACTCACTGCAAGCACGTTAAACAAGGCAGCCAAAAGTGCTGTTACACCTCATGACGGTATTTTAGAAGCTGGGAGAAGAAGCTTTGGTTTTGGTCTAGTGTAGTTGCTACTGTAGGTCCATCACCTTGGTGTGCAAGCCACTTAGCATAGAGACTTGAGAGGAGCTTCACCTGAGTGCACATTTCAAAACACACTCAACTGTACCAGGTAAGAATACACACTTGAAGGTGCCTCTGACACAAGCTCTTCTGACTGATTTGCACGTGCTCACTACCTGCCATCCACTCATAGATCTAGTGATGACTCTTAATTCTGTGAATGATCAGATGCATGAAGGCTGAGGACAGTTATGTTACACAAGACAAACAGCGAAGGTCAAAAAGGAAAGCCCAATCAACAGTGTGAACGATGAATACGCCTTTCTTAGTGACAGAGAAGATGACAGCAAGGGGCAGATTACAAGACACAGCACCACATGACTGATCAGACTGGTAGCAATTAGAAAAGCAAAGATGAATTCTAGAAAAGGATTCAACCAAATATGGTGTCCATGCAGGGCAGATGACAGGAAGAGATGTGGAGTACAGCAGAAGGGAGGATAAGCAACTTGCCTTTGGCAAGCTGAACTCAATCTGACAATAAAAGCATGAAGAGAAATAATCAGCATTACTACAGGAGCACGCAGAGCTTGCTAGACTTCTCAAACACTCAAGGCCACGCTAAAGCAAAGAGCTCACCAGGGTAAATAGGCAGCTCATCAGAGTGCCCGTCAGTCACTAGGAGTGTCAGCCAAGAACTCACTTGGTGGTATTGCTGCCCAGCTGTCACCAGTGGCAGGTTTTAGCAGAGATGCCCAATCACACGGTGACTTGCCCTTTGAAACACTACATACTGCAGAAGACATTTTCCTCTTGTCCTGTGTCCCATTTCCCAACCCACACCCGCCTTTGTTCCTCATTCAACGCTTGCACGTAGGAAAGAGTCTGCCCAACAGTCCTTCCTTTCCTCCTGAAGCCACCACTGAACCACTTGGTCTCTTGCAAGTGCTTCAGCATTCTCCAAAGCAAGAGTATATTACTGTACTCTTGTAGTAAAACACTCAAGTACACTGCACTCCAGACTTTGGTAGGCTTAGAAAGGAGAGG